GATCCATTGTCCTTCACTGCTCCTTGTAGCTTCCTGGACTGTGCTGGTTTTCTTTGCCTATCATCTGCAATCTTCACTTTCATCTTATACGAGCCAATCCACATCGTGTCAAGCTGCCTTTCCATTTGAAGCTCATTCTTTACCCCTGCCATCCGCACAAATCCGAATCTCTTCCCTCGCTTATCTCCTTTGTTCGGGACATACACATCAACCACCTTGCCATACATCTGAAAGCAATTCCATAGAAATTTTGTCTCCAGCTCCTCCGAAAAATTATAAAAGAAAAATGTCTTCGACCAGCCGAAAAATTGTGAACCATAGCCTGCAACCCTGTTCCTGTGTCCTTGCCTCTGTCTGAAACCACCGTCGTTCCCTGCTACTGCACCCCTTGCCGTCCCCCTCGTGCTCATTTCTCTCTTACTACGCATCCTGCAGGCGTGTATAATCTTATGGTTGTAAAAAAAAATGCAGAATTGTGTGTGTTTTTTTCGAAGTTAGATAGAATTCTATTAATTTTGAATAAGATAATTTTTGTATTCCTTTCCAAAAAGTATAAATGAATAATTTATCAAATGCATAAATTACAAAAAAATTTATAAATATATATGCAAAAAATATTGTAAATAGTGTTGTCAAATTAAGTCAAACTCCCTCAATTTTGCCCTAATCCTATACAGATGAAAAAAGTCGTGTGCAAGATTATGAGTTTTTATTGTGTGATAAAGTTGTATATTATTTTATTCTAAGATTTAGAATTCCTTTAGTATGATTATGGTTTTGAATTTTTTATTTTGGTCTTTAAAAATTTAGAAACACTAGAATAAAATTAAGCATTTTTGTAAATTAATTAAATTTGGAGTTTTGGGTTTTTATTTTAAAATTTGAAACTCAATAAATTAGTAATTTTAATTTTTAATTTTGATTTTGATTTTTTTTAATTTTAGAATTTTAAAAACCAAAATAAAAAACCACAGCCATAATAAATAAAACTTTATTTAATGAGTGTTTAGTAAAGATTTTTATCTATGCAAATAATTTTACCATTGCTATTCTCAAAGGTAGCTTTAAATTGGGCCATCGGATACTCAAAAAAAAAAAAAAAAAAAAAAAAAAAAAAAAAAAAAACCTTATTGTTTAGGGAGTTTTTTTTTTTTAATGAAAAATAAAATTTCATTGATATATTAAAACCATTAAGAGTTACAAGTCCAACCAAATAAAGTAATACACTAAAGGTATTACATTCATAAATTGTGTAAAAATTGATTTAAGTCTAACCAATATCATGTTGAAGTTATTATCCTCCCTAACAAAGAGCTAATCTTAATAAAAAAATGTTGAGAAAATTAAAACAGAAACCATTAAAAAAGAGTGAGAAATCTCAAAAAAAAAAAGGAGAAAAAACCTACAATAGAATAGAGAACTCCCACCTTTAATTATCTATCCTAACCGCCAAGGGGGAGAGAGATAGTGGCGGCTAGGTGGAAGATGGAAACAAGAGAGGAGAAAATCAAGGTAAAAGAAGGGTGAGCGTGAATAGGGTTAATTAAAAAAAAAAGTGTTTTGAATTAATTTTTAAATCCAAAATGTTTTTACTTTTTATCATTAGAAAATGTTTAGTTTTGATACTTAAAAAATTTTATAGTTATTTAATATAGAAAAAAATATTATACAATTTGAATTATATTGAATTGGATAATTTAAAGATATACTTGTGATTTTAGAAATTATTTATTCGTCTAATAATTTTTATTTTACAAATGAGACTATAAAATAAAAAATTTTAATATAAATACATAACTTATAAATTGAGATAAAAAAGACAATTATAAATGAATTTGCTTAACATGTGTCTTAATTAATTTATAAATGGGTTAAATGTGTAATAAATAATATTTTTTAATTAATTTATATAAAATATTATAAAATTTAACATTTATTTTAACATTATTAATATTAAATTTAATTAATCAATTAATTAAATTAAAATCATTCTTATATTTTTATAAAAATTATTTATAAAAAATATATTAGTTACAATCATTAATTTTAACTTGTGTAGCAAGTGCAGACCTTTGAAAAACCGTTTTTAAATTTATAAATTTATCGTGTGTGGTAAGCGGTGCATGATCAAGTGAGTATTGATGCTATTATTCAGAACATTGCATTCGATACTGCTCCCGTCATTATCTCAACAAGCTCTTTACCGCGGAAAAAGCCCTGTATTCTCATTTTCTTTATGCTTAAAGTTAAAACCTCAGTGAAGCAGAAATGGCACTCAAAAACCTCTCGATATTTTTCTGTCCTCTTCTTCCTCCCCTAGATCATCATAATCTCTCCAACATAACCCCAAATCCCTCAAAATATGCAGAAGATGCATTGCTATCTCCTGCAAATCCAGGCAATCAGAGGCCCAGTCTCCGACACTCAATTCTTGGGTTCCAGAGCTGATCCTGAAGGAACTGGTGCGGCTGCCTCAACTCCCG